CTCGTTGAGGTTGGGGTTCCGTGCGAGCCTGAGGCCTTTATGCAGGCTGCTGCTTCTTTTCGACATCCGTCTGAGTGTGATGTGGAGTTGCCTGCTGACCTGGAGGAAACGCTGTCAGCTGTCTCTCGCATGAGTTGTGCCGAGTTGGCACGTCGCAGGTGCCGTTTCCTTCACAGCATTCTGCAGAGGTCACATGAGTTAGCGACTCGTGAAGCGGCACTGCATTCAGGTTTGGAGCCTCATGCTAAGACTGTTCTGAAAGGCAAACGCTTGTTGCTGCTGGAGGAACTGCTGTCCAGCCTTGGGCATGAGGACACCCGGCTGGTGGCCGACATTTGTTCGGGTTTCAAGCTCACGGGTTGGCTCGATCCTAGTGGTGTCATGGAGCCAAAGATCACTGCACCATCTGAGTCTGCTGCGAACCTGTGGCGGCAACGCTCTGATCTCAACGCTAAGGCATGGAACCAGACCACTCCCACTGCTTCTGCTGAGCTTGACCGCTCTTTGTGGGACGCGACTGTCAAAGACGCTTCCAGTGGCTGGGCCATGCTCTTGCCGCCTTCTGCGGAGCCACCTACTGAGGTTCTGCTTAGCCGCAGGTTTGCCGTTGTTCAGGGTGATAAGGTCAGAGGTGTGGACGACTTCAGCTTCAATGGCCTGAATGATACTCTTGGCACCTGTGAAAAGGTGACCACAATGTCCACAGCTCACACAGTAGCACTTGGTTTGCGTCTGCTGAGGATCGCCAAAGCTCGTGGCATGCGCCTCTTAGGTCGTTGTTTTGACCTGAAGAGTGCTTATCGGCAGCTGCCGATTCATCTTGACGATTTACCTTATGCTGCTGTAACAGTCTGGTCACCTGAGGACAATGCCGTCCGAGTGCTGCAAATGTTTGCACTTCCTTTTGGTGCTGGGGGTAGTGTTCCGGGCTTTGTTCGGGTTTCGCTGGCTCTGTGGCGCATTCTGTGCCGTCTTGCGTTGGTCCCTGCAACAATGTTTTTTGATGACTACACCTGTATTGTGCTGGAATCTGATGCCGTCAACGCTGAGGCCTCAGTCCACATGCTGTTTCGCATTCTTGGCTGGCGCCTGGCACTTGAAGGCGACAAGGCTGTGTCCTTCGCGCAAGCCTTTCAGTCGCTTGGTGTCGTGTTCCTGCTGACGCCTGGCGTTGACTGTAGTCTGTCAGTCTCCAACACTGAGGCAAGGAAAGCTGAGGTGGCGGCTTGGTGTCTTGAAAAGCTTAGGTCCTGCCAGGCATCTCCCAAGGAGTGTGAGCAGTTTGCCAGCAGGGTGCGGTGGCTGTCCGGACAGGTCTTTGGACGTACTGCTGGCTCTGCTCTTCGTGTTCTGCTGTCTGCTGGAAGGGCGAGCAAGCCTCACACTCTGCGTGAGTTGTCTGCTGAGCTGTTGTGGGCGATCAGGTGGATCCTTGAACATATCCCCAAAGGTGATCCCAAGGTATGGTCACTTGCCAGCCGCAAGAAGCTGCATCTGTTCACTGATGGAGCCTTTGAAGACGGCACCGCTTCCATCGGGGGCGTCCTATGTGACGGCTGGTGTCAGCCTCTGCAATGGTTCGGTTGTGAAGTGCCTGGCGCTGTTACTGAGGGATGGCTTTGCAAGGACTCTGAGCATCCAATCATACAGGCTGAGCTGCTTGCCGTTGCTGCCTCAGTTACGTGTTGGAGTCAGGCCCTTCGTGACTCCAACACTTGTGCCTGGGTCGACAATGAAGTCGTTCGGTTTGGGGTCATTAATGGTTTCGTCAGGCCGGACAGTGCGATGTGCATTCTGGAGCGCATGTTGCGCTTTGAAGCCTCTCTCGGCATCCAGCTGTGGGTTTGCCGGGTGCCTTCGCATAGCAATCCGGCCGATGGGCCCAGCCGTGGCTTGTGCCCAGCTTTTCTTTCCAAGGCCAAGGAAGTGAAAGTTGACGTGGGGTCTTTGGTCTCCTTGGCCAGCGGCTGTTAAAGTTTCTGGGGCTGTGAAGCCGCTGGCCTGCTTCTGACAGCTGGCACTGTCGGCACTGTGCCTCTGCCGCTGTACTGCTGTACACTGAGCGGTATGCACTCTGTCTTCGCTGTGCTTTGTGATAGATCTTCGGCTGTCGATCTGCAGCTGTCGGTCTGGATGGACCACACTGGCTTGTGCCGCCCCACGTCTGAAAAAAGGTGTGTGCCAACTGCATGCCTGCATGCTGTTGCATTTAGTAGAGCGCGTGCATTAAGTTTGCTATGTCTTGACATGCGACTTTAATGCATCGCGCGGCCATTTTGGCTTAAGTGCTGTTATTCTGTTGCCCGCCCTCCCATCCCTATGAGGCAGGATACTGATCCATTCTGGGCCCATGGCATGGGCTTTGGCCCTGTGCGGGCGAGGTCTTCTCACCTCAGCCTGCCCTGGGAGTCTGGCACTTTTTCTTTTCTGAGCACACAGCCTTCTTCTTTGAGCCAGTCTCTCGAGGAGCTGCTTCGAGCCCCTCTGCCTGTGCCTGTGCCGAAGCAGTGTTCTGCTGTTAACCCTGGTCTGCCTGCAAGCTCTTCTGTTGCGTCGTTGCCGACGTCTTTCCGTGCACCTGGTCAGGCAAAAGGGTTTGGCTGGAGTTCGCAGGAGGAACGCACTAAGCGTGTGCAGGCGCTGTGTAAGTGGTCCAACCTGCTGAAGTTGGCGCCTGAGTTGTTCTGCCTGGCGACTGTGGAGAAGTTGCCTACTGAAGGCGATGAGTCTGTGGTGGAGCATCTTGATGTTCTGTTCAGCAAGAAGAGCACTAACACGCTGTTAACTCGGGCCTCTCCTTTGACCAGGTTTGTCTTGTGGAGACGGCGTACATACATGTCCCGAGGATGTGACATCCGAGAGCGTTGTGTGGCTGCACTGTCGCTGGCTTCAAGGTGTTGCTGCTGCTTCCAGCATCGACTCCTTCGTGAGCAGTCTGAACTTTGTGCACGGCACTTTGGGCCTACGTGTGTCTGTGCAGGAGCTGCTGTCTGCTCGGGTGCGTGGTCTTGCCCATGCACATCTGCGCACTAAGGAGGAAGTGGCTCAGGCATCTGCTCTGACTGTTGCTCAACTCAGGTGGCTGGAGTACTACGCTGCTACTGCTGATGACCTCTACGAGAGACTGGTGGCTTCAACTCTCTGCTTTATGGTCTTTGCCCGGGCGCGCCGCAGTGATGTTGCGCGCGCCACTCACATTGAGTTTGACCTATATCCGGATGGGCTGGATGGCTTCGTTGAGTGCAGAGTCAAGAACCCCAAGCAAGCAAGAGCCTGTAGTAAGAGAAATCTGTTCATGCCGCTGACTGCTCTCTTCTGTGGCGTGTCTGACATCCCCTGGGGCGCCACTTTCCTGGCTGTTCGTGAGGCAAACCGCTTGGAGTCAAATGGTGCACTTGACCACCCTCTGCTTCCTGGGCTCACTGCTGCTGGTTTGTGGTTGCAGGAGTGTGTTAGCAGCAGTCAGCTTACTCAGTGGCTCCGCTGCATCCTGGCGAAGGCCCCTGACGCTGACCTGGCGGCCATTGCTGCGGTGCGAAGTCACAGTTGTAAGGCCACACTACTGAGCTGGTGTGCTAAGGCTGGTTTGTCTGACAAGACCCTGACTTTCCTGGGTTACCACAGCCACGGCGTCAACATGTCCAATGTTGGTTATCGCAGAGACGCTCTTGCTGGTCCTTTGCGTGAGCTGTGGCAGGTCGTGTCTTCAGTGAAGACGGGCAAGTTCGCTCCAGACGTCACTCGCAGCGGTCGCTGGCAGGAACCGGGTAGTCCTGTGAGCTCGGCTTCCGCTTCGCTGGTTTCTTCGCCACCCAGCAGTGCGGAGCGCAAGTCTTCTGCGGCTGCTGCCTCTGCTGCTGCTGCCGCTGCTGCAACCAGCAGCTCTAGTGGCTCTTCTGAGGCTTCCTGTGACAGTGATGATGGTGCTGATCAGCTTGTGGCGGCTGCCCCCCATTTTGTGGAGAACATCCTTGGTCTTGGGGGCTACGCTGTGGCCGGGAATAAGAAGAACAAGTTGCTGCACATTGTGAAGCAGAAGACAGGGCGCCTCCTGTGCGGTCGCCTGCTGTCTGACTCCTTCGAGGTCGCTTCTGCTACTGACGCGGGTGATAGTCGTTTTTGTCGTACCTGTAAAACCTGTGCACTTGCCTGCGTTTAGTGCAGGGGCTGTGAAGCCGCTGGCCTGCTTCTGACAGCTGGCACTGTCGGCACTGTGCCTCTGCCGCTGTACTGCTGTACACTGAGCGGTATGCACTCTGTCTTCGCTGTGCTTTGTGATAGATCTTCGGCTGTCGATCTGCAGCTGTCGGTCTGGATGGACCACACTGGCTTGTGCCGCCCCACGTCTGAAAAAAGGTGTGTGCCAACTGCATGCCTGCATGCTGTTGCATTTAGTAGAGCGCGCGCATTAAAGACCGGAGTTTCGGAGGTGCCTTTACTGTAAGTCTCAGATTTCGGCTGCTTGGCGACTTGCAGAGCTTGCGCCAAAGCAGCCACGCCGTCTAGCATCAGCTTGGCTTCGATGCCAGGCCATCGTTGACATCCAGCATCTTTTCAGGCCTTCTCATTTGGAAATGTTGTCCAAGATTCTCAAGGAGAGCAGCAGAGTTGCCCGTCCGAGCATGTGGACGCGGCGATGAAACCATACGCGCCAGAGATTGAAAGGACCCCGAAGCGTCGTCCAACGACCGCTTCGTGGCTTTGGAACTACTCAAGAATGCCTGCGCCACTTGCCTGGGCATTGAACGGCTGGGACATGTTCTGTGTAGCCACCCAAGTTAGTACTCGTAGCAGCTGCAATGTGGCAGATCTTTGGCATATGCGATGCAGTATGTGCTCTCAACGTTTTGGCTCTGGGAGGTTACCTTGAGAATAGTCCAGCCACCGCTTTTATGACTAGCTCTTCTTGACATCTGTACAAAACGACCCAAGCTATGCAACAGCATGCGACAGACTTGTGAACGATACCGCAGCTCTGAGCTTTTGCCCCTGCCCATGAAATGTCGCTCCAGTCCGCGTGCTGCGGCGATCACCGGAGCACTGGGCCCCTGGTCGAGGTGCGCCTGAGCAAGCTCTTCCTAAATCTCTGTCTCTCTCTCTCTCTATAGTTTCTTTTGCTGAGGGCTTTGGGTAATGGGACGAAATTTCGGCTCAAACCGACCCTCGAGCGCAGAATGGAAGGGTCCTCTTCTGCTCCTCCGAACTGTAATGATTCGCAGGTCGTTACTCCGCTTGACCTTCCAGGCAGAGTGGCTGCGGGGCTCTTTTGCATCTGTCAGTGCTGTGGTGCTCAAGCATACATACCACTCGTGCTGCTACAGCAGGTGTGCTGGAATCAATCAATGACGGACTAGGTGCGAGCCGGCTGCCTTTGCACTGATTCACTGTGTAATTTTAACGCTACGCCGCCCTCCTCGGCTCCTGAGGTGCAGGGGCCGGATGAAACGGTAAAGCCTTCTGTATCACTGAGGAAATCTGTTCAGGTAACGGCTTTATTGAGATGTGTTTGAGCAGGACTGCCACGATTCAACAGGTGCGGGGTGCCGTAGAGCTGCTTTTCAGCGAGATATGTCAGCGTGCGGCAAGGAGGAACGAACAGCGGAAATGCAGACGACCAGCGGCCATGTGCGGCAGGGGACTGGGCAGGAGCAGGAAGAAGGGCAGGGGAGGGAAGGGGGGAGCGGGGGGGGAGGGGGGGAGGTGGGGGAAACCAAAAAAGAGCAGAACAAGACGGGATAGGGGGGGGGGGAGATGCCAGAGAATCCGGTAAAATGAAAGGCAGCCGGGCAAGGCGTGGCAAATGAATGCAAAAAGCGGGTGTCTCCACACTTTGAGAGGAGGATCAGGTGGAGGGTACTTGAGGTAACCCCCAAGACGCCTGAGCCTGTGGCCTCGGCAGATTGAAGTAGTTGGCGGGCAGGCGAATGCAGTGTTCTGTCGGTATGTGATGCAATGTGCTACACCGGACGACGTTAATTCCTGCAGTGGCTGTGCTGGCAGGCACAGTGCTGCACCTGCTGCAGCAGAATTGCTCTGACCAGCTGCAGCTGAAGGCCTGAGTGAACCACAAAATGGGTAGCCGGCCGAATGACCTAAACGAACTCGAGTCTCAGTCACAATTACAAGCATGGCAACACACGTGCTTCTTCTCGTCTCCCAAAGCCGATGCAGCCTCGCTGGTATGGCAATTTCCTGTGCAGAACCTGGCCATCGTCCACCAAGAGATGATGCTTCGCCAGGAGAGGTGCAACTGCTGTGAGCACCTTCAAGTGCCAGGGCTGCTAGACGGGATTTGCTGCCAGCTGGAGAGGTGCATGCAGAATCTCGCGGAGGTCGAGACTGAAGTTGGAGGGTCGTGTGGTCTTGGCATGCGAAATCAGACATGTGGGGGTTGTCAAGATTAGGATCCCTTTCTGGGTCCTTATCATCATAATACGGCACCTAATTTGTAGGGTACCCAAAAAGGGACCCTAATTCTGACAACCACCCATGTGTTGGGTCCAGATTGCCTTGCAGAGCAGGGCCTGGCAATCTCCGCACCCTGCACCTCCATGCAGAAGAAGGCCTTTCCGTCTGACCAGTCTTTCAAAGCTGCATCCTGCGGCCTGCATCAGATTGCAGCGGAGGACCGCGATGAAGAAAACGAGGATCATGACAAGGTGGAGAGCGTGGTTCATTTTCAGCTTGATGAGGCGGCCTGGCAGGTAAGCTGAAACGGCAAGCGCGCAAACACAGTTCATAGGCCTAAAAGTTGCACGTCCAGTTGAATTAGAGTTGAATTACTACAGCTGGAGAGTGTTCATGTGCACACAGGTGAGCGATGGTGCAGAGGGCTGGATGGCCCCGAATCAGCAGGTGCGGTCATGCACCAGTAGCAAGAGCCGTTCGGAGCCTCGGTAGCAGCTAAGAGCTAAGGCAATCCTCGCGTGTCCCCAATCCGTAACTGCACGCAGTGCTTCTTGAGCTTACCGCCGAGGCATTGGCGATACCACATGGGGATCGAGAGTGCCCAGCTGATGAGATACTGCTGCCAGTCATCCAGAAAGGCACCCCCCACCAGCTCTCCCACTTTCGGTGTCAAGATACATGTAGTCCGTCACTGTAGTCGAATCAGATGTGGTGTTCATCGATTCTTGCCACAAGGCAGCTCACCTACAGCCAAGAAAATGAGCAGCCGCGATGGGCCCAAATTCGGGCAGAGGCGCTCCGTGTGTGGAACTCCCTCTGACACTCCTTGTGATTCAAAGTCAAGCGGTGAAGCATGATGTGGAGGTTCGTGACTCAAGGGCAGGAGTCTGAGCCCGAGACAGTCGCCTTTGAGATCATAGGACCGCTCTGCGCGTCTCCGAGTTGTCCGACGTGGTAAAGGAGGTTTCGGAGCAAGTTTCGACCTGAAAGCCGAAGACCCATGAAGTGGGAAACCCACAGAAATAGATGCTCTTGGGCTGGGCCTTGCTACAGCTCTGAACCTGTATCTGGAAACAGGACTGGCCTCGCACGGCTCACCGCGGAGAACGCTGGCGAGCTCGGCCAGGCTTGTCTGCACGAGGTAGTCTAGGAGGAGCAGGAGCGGGAGTGACTGCTGGTGTCCCATGTGACAGTGTGCAATTCTACCAGGGAGATGGCGAGTTCGACGGCTCTGCGACGCTTCTTTTTCCATTGGGTTGCAAGCGCCATCGAGTGGTGTGAAGACTGCAGGCAAGGTTCCTTCGGGCATAAATCTTGGCATGATCAGTTCGCGATGACCTGCATGCACAGTACTTCGTGCCGGGATTCGACAAAAGACCCGACCTTCTTTAACTTATTCACGTTCCTCTCCTGCAACTGCTGTGCATCCAGGGAGCCGCATCGCACTGGAATCCTGGCCAAAATCGTGAAGAGCAATCGATTCGGCGGGCTCTGCATGACGGCTCCTCGGACAATGGCGATTTGTACTGTCAATAGTAATAATACTGCGCCAGGACGAAAGTTCGTCGCATCCGGTAGGTCCGCTAACACATACTTGCAAACCCCTTTCCCCCATAGACTCCTTCACGAAGTGGCAATGTCAGGCCCGGACCTCACTAATTCCTCCGTCGGAACAAAAAAACAGTGTATGTTCATTTTGGCATGGAAATTCCTCCGCTAGCCAGGCCACGTAAAATGCACTTCTTCGTACTCCGAGTCCTCCGCCAAGCAAAGACATCTTAGTGCGACAAAACTTTCATCCTGCTGATGTAGTAATAGGTATGTTGTTTATCGCCAGACTGTGAGGTTGAACATCAGTCGCTCCTCACACGTCTTGATCTCCGTTGTGCCTCCCGAGGTGATCCTGCTCAACTCGATCGTCATCTCCTACCAGCGCCGGGGCAGCCTTTTGAACACATGCACGCTGTGGCGACTCAGCATGCTCATACACGGCACCCGAGACACCCAGTGCTGCCATCTGCCAAGGTCGGATTTCGAAATGAAGAATCCAGGCGCGCTGTGAACAGGGAACGCTATGGAAACAGCAGATCTTGCTGATTTGGCCTCGTCGTCATGAGTGTTGACCAAGCAACTAAGCCAGCAAGACAAGACTCACAAGCTACCTGTCGCAGCCAAAGTGCATCAGCGACTTGTTTCTGGATGCTACCGCAGGTGCTACCACTCCATATCCACTCATGATGTGCCTGGGCTGACACGAGAATTCATTCAAATCCCATAACATGCGAAACCTTTTCGCTTACAGGATTGAGCTCGGCTTCGCCTTTTTCTATGGCATCGAGATCCTCCTGAAGTTGGTATAGCTCTTAGCTTCTTCCGTGTCTGTGCACTGTCAGTGTCTGGCACACGGGAAATCATCCGTTGGCGCTTGAGGCCGTTCATCGCTGCTCGGTAGAAGGTATAGGGGGATCATCGTGCTATGAGTACTGTGCTTCAAGCTCTATTTATCGTCGTTTGGCCCGGTGAGACCTAAGGGTTCTACTTTTTCATCAATGACGATATGCGCTGGAACCTCTTTGATCTCGGCTTGGCTTGGAACCCGGCAATGTTGCCCTTGTCGAGTGGCAGAGGAGTGTGGAATAGATTTCGAAGTCGGCAACATGGTATCACCATGTGTGGATGACACTTGAAATCTTGCAGTGCAAGCAACTTTGAGCGAGCGAGGATAGAAGTCTCACAAGACATTTCCGCGCAGAGGAGACCTCCAGGTGTTGAACTCTCGCAATGCATAAAGGAAGGGAGGGAGGCTTTGGCGCTACCGGATGTCGTTCGAGACGTCAATGACCAGAACTCCGGACCCCTCGCAATTTCTGTCGAGAGGCTGACTGAATCACCAAGAGTGCATGGATGTCGTGAAGTGAAGAGAAATGAAGATCTGTTTTTCCATGTCCTTGAACAGCGTCGGCCCGCGGAGACGCTGCGTTCGTGTGTTCGCATTGTCAAGGTCTGCCTGTCCTTGGTGGAGGTCACCTCATCCTTTGTCCTGCTTTCGAAGGGGGTGTCCCGCGAGGACTGCTGGCTCAGTGCACCGCAGTGGATACAGTCCCAGCACTGACGATGACAGGGCATAAACTTGACGTTCCTCCGGCTGCTGCGCCTTTGCAAGATTGCCAAGGCCTCCGACCTCCGAGTTAAAGCAGGTAAGACAGACGCCCTTCTAGAATGGGAGTTGACTTCAGCGTATCTGTACTCACAAGCCAAGCTGCCTTTGTAAATTCGCCGGAGGTTCTCCGAGTGCTTCGAACCTTGCGCTTCTTCAGAGAGCTGCGATTGATGCTGGACTGCGTCCTCGGATCAGTCATCAATGCCATATGGCCCCCCAGCTGCAGAACAGGGCTGGGCCACCTTGGACTCTTGGACCCCGAGACGGACTGGAAACTCATGAGATGCAAAGAGGAATACCGCAGTGCGTTGCTCCCTGCAGATCCCTCCAGCTTAAGGTGTGTGGCAATGCTGTTCTTCGCCCGAAGCCGAGGGTGTACCGAGCAATCAAAGGCTCATCTGCACTTCGTGCCCAGTGCCCAGGTCATGTTCATCTTTGCTCTGCTGATGGTCCCGACCTGTGGCATCCAGATCCGGCCAAAGATGGCCAAAGTGTGGAGCCGAAATTCCTAAGGTGCAAGGCCTTGCAGACTACCTGGGCCAGTACTCGCGGGAATTTGGGCCCGAGAGCCTGACTGAGGAATTTGTAGGCCGGTCTCGCCCTTCTCTTTTAGCTTTGCTGGCCTTTGATGTCACCAGGGGACATTATGCTCTGGTACGGCTCGGTCGGCAGTCTCTCGCCTCAGCCGACAATAGTGGCAGGGGTGACACTGCGTCTGGACTGCAAAGTTCAAGCCAAGGAACAATCCTGACTCTGTTTCAGTCGACGACATCTGGAATCGACTGGCGTGATTGCTATCTTCCACTTGAGCAGAGCTCCCTGCCGAGAAGAGACTAGTATGTAAGTATGTACTGTTGTTATAACAGTATGTTAATAGTATATAACAGTATATAACAGTACATAACAGTACATAACAGTACATAACAGTAAATAACAGTATATAGTAATAGTATATAATAGTATGTAATAGTATATAATAGTATATACTAGTATATGATAGTCAGACAGGGCTCGAGTCTCTCAGCACTCCTTGGCTGTTAGGTTCAGAGCTGGTCGCTGGCATGTTCCTGGTCTTCGTCGGTCTTTTTACGATCTCTGCCCAGCCCTTAGCACCGGTGGAGTCGGCAGTTTGACGACGTGTCGTCACCGTTGTTATTATTACTACTATAATAATGCGCATTATTATTGTTACTATAATAGTAGGTATTACCATTATTATTTGTATTTATATCAGTACTCCAACCAACCTCATTCATCCGCCGCTGCGGACAGAGCTCATGATTCCTTTCTGCTGTCATCCACATAGAACTTCTCAATGTGATCTGGTTGTACTTAACAGCAAACGGCATAGCCTCTGTTATTGCCAACAAAGCGCCTGAATCAGCAACAGGTTGCATCATAATAGCACTGCTGCATCTTCTTGCTCGCATGTACTGTAGCTGGAGGTGTGGAACATCGTCACGCCCTTCCCTCAGCCAAGTTGCTGAGTCAAGCACATGTTTGCAGCCCGTGCCAAAGAACAAAGCCTCAGGTCGACGTTCGTCGAGAAGGCATTGAAGTTGGCCCAGCCAGACCTGGAGTCCTTAGTGATGGAGCACCACCTGAAGGCCAGCTTTGGAGCTCTGCCAGAAGTCCTTATACTGGGAAAGCCGCAAGGACGTGCAGGATGCGCAGTCTCTGATCGACCTATTCTGCAGCCTTTGCCTCAGCCACTCGAAGTCCTCCTCGGATCCGACAAGAGTTGGCATGTGAAGGTCGACTGGGATGTTCTGAGACGTTGAGCCCTCGATCTGTCGTCAGCTGCATCCGAACACATGTGCGCCTCCAACTAGAGGTCCAGCATTTGCCACGGGCAGTTCAAGCTCCTCGCAGGGCAGCACCGCTTCAGGGCATACCTCACCGTGCCCTGGCAGCACTTCGAAGTAGTGCAAGAACACGCCTGTCGCCGGGTGGTTGATTCGGATCTTCGGTCCGAAGTGCTAAGGCACGCGGCATCGACATCAAGAACGTGGAGGCCTTCTGAGTTCCCACGAGCACGCCTGATGCATTTCCAAGAATCGATCGCAACTCTTCAAGGGTGCAGGATTTAGGGTGTATGGTTACGTAAGTGAAGCTCCGACAGGGCCGAATTGCTGGCTAGCAGGTAGGAGCAGGCACTGCCACGACTCCCGTTGTGAAAGTGCAGAATCTCACACAGGGCTGATTGCTGAGCCCTCTGTTTCGGATCAGTATCCTTACTCCTGGCTTGACAGAGTTCACGTGCAATGTCAAATCACTTTGACATGGGAGGTTTTCTTCCGCATGCTTGCAGCTGCCAGCGGGAATGCCGAAGTGGAGATCAAGGCGCAGCATATTATGGGGCCGAACATACTTGCTCGTGTCGCTGTCAAGGATGACAATCTTAAGCCGCAGAACGTCGCCTCAGGTTCTTGCAAATGCGCTGGTGAGGATGAAGGGCGCCTCGTCAGTGCGAGAGAGTTGCATCAGTGCCCATCCTGTGGCGAGTCGGGGTGCTGGAGACCATGTTCAGTTCAGGCTCCCCCCAGCCGAGGTTTTGCCACCAGCATCGACTTGCAGACCTTGACCTTCGAGACCAAGATGCAGCTATCCAAACAGGCAGCTAGGCTAAAGCCAGCAGCTATGTACACCGCAGGCACAGAGACAGTTTCCTACATTGCTGCTGCACTCAGGCAAGATCTGTCAAGGTCGGGGCACGCAGTCGCTTGAGAAAGTCGTTTCACAGCAGTTCAGTTCGCGTTGCGAGGAAGTTGGTCGGCATGTACGTCGCATCGTATTCCGACGGCAATGGCTGGAGAAAAGGATGGCTGACAAAGACTTACCAGTTGTCTCGCAAGCCGAGGAGAAGTTGCTTGAAAATGGGACGAAGTGACGCTTGCCTGCACATGTGCTGTGTCCTTGAATGCGGTTGCTTTCTTGCTGGTGCGTTGGCTAGACTAGACTGATCTAGACTGCATGCGGTCGCTGGAAGCGGTAGTATAGAGCTGTAGCAGGCCAGCAGATGCCATCTCCACGAGATTCTCTTCTGCACTAAGTGTGGCCGTGCAAGAGCTGCATACCGACAGTGTAAATGCCAACGACCTTGCAAGGAGCACAAGGACGATCCCAAGCCGACATTGCTTCGGAAGGTAAGCTTCTCGTCGAACGAACGCGAGCCTGTCGAGCGGCCGAAGGTAATGCCGCCGGTGCCAAGCTGGCAAGAAGACAAACGTGAAAACGCGAGCGGGGTCAGCGTGGAATCTCAATCTGGCTTTGGGTCCTCCGAGGCAGCGTCGCACAAATCCGCTCTTCGGCCGCGCTGTCCACCGGAGCCGTGCGTCTTACATGCATTGAGCATCCAAGTCTTCAGCACTCCCGTCCATGGAATCATTCTGTGATGCCCGCCGGTCGGGAAAGGATGCCGCTGACCGTTGATCTGCGAAGAATGAGTTTGCATTCTTAGACTCTTTTTTCGGCTTTAGCACAAATCGCCAAAACACGGTGCCGGAGCGTTGAGCCTAGGTCTTACTGCCGGGTTCGTACTTAATGCCCAGATCAGGCCATGAACTACAGAAAGCCTACTCCGCATGCAGACATAGTCGACTGCAATGTGGCAGTCTAAGAAACCCAAGCCTCGCAATCGAAAGGCCCAAACTGGTATACTACAAACATCGAGGTAACGCCTAGAGCCAAAGGCGCACGGCCACCAGCGCCCTGCTTTCTTTGGCATTTCCAAGTTCAGCTCGTGGTTCGAGCCTGGGATTTGGGAACACAGCGAATTATACACGGCAGACCTCGTAATCCTCCCAACCACGAGCTGGCGATGTTTTCTCGCACGAGCTTTGCCGGCATTCAGGTGCAGCCAAGGTGCATGCAAGAGTCATGCAAGCCAGCCGGGCGGTGCAATGCTGTGCGTATTCGAAGCTTCAGGATAGAGGATGTAAGTCAGATGATCCGCGTGATTTCCCGAAGATGCCTAAGGCATTCAGTCATCGGCCTGTCTGACGAAAAAGTTACAACTGGAAAGGAATTCTAATTCTCTTCTGGTTTCTGACGCTCGCTCAGCCACAACACGTAGAGGCCGTAGAAGCAATTCACGCAGAAAGCTGGCCGCCGCTAGCCTGTCTGAGCCTAGGTTTCAGCTGGAAAAGTACGGGGCCCGGGCTTCGCCAGCTGGAGATATGGCAGGACAAGTGGGAGGCCCAAATAGTAGGACACTTATCCTTATTAAAAATAAGGTACTCCCCAATTTTCGGAAACTCCCACGTTGGGCAGTCACGGCTTCCGATCCAGGAACGTGCTTTGGTGTTCCGAAAACCGAGGTCATGCCCTCCTGCCAGGACACCGGCACCGCCGTTGCCAGAGCCCAATTCCGTTTCGCTGCCTGGTCCGGGGGGAACAGCTGTTCAGATCGTCCCGAGTCTGTCTCCCCCAAACATGCAACGTCCTGCAACCAGAAGCCCTGTCTACCAGAAGCGGAAACGGTGTAGCAACAGGTTGCGAGATGGTGAGACGGTGCTGAGGCCATGGTGAAGCGAGGAACTCATGTCCTCACGGACGGAAGGGATGAGGACGCGAGCTGTGGGCTAACATGTTTCAGGGCTTAGTCGTTGCTCTGAATATTGGTACTACGAATGCTGCTCTGCCATATTCTTCCTGCTACGAGTAGCTCCGAACAGCCTCCAGGAGTTCATCTCCCGTGGAATCTACAAAGCCTACACCGAAGGCTACTTGCGCTACTCGCAGGCGAATGCTTCAATTTGAGCTGCCGATTAGCCGACCAGCTTATGCTTGTCGGCATGTTGTGAGATTCCCCTGCGACATGGCCCAAGGTGGCGCCGCTCAGCATGTTCGAGGAAGCAAACACGAAAACCAATTTGCCAGCGCAGATTGACATGCTGAGCCAGCTGAGTCCTCAGTAGCTACGAGTTGTAGTTGCTTTAGCCGGTGCCTGAGCTCTTGCGCTGCTTGTCTTGGTTGTACGTAAGTCTTCTCAGGCATGGCAGCTCCTACGACGTGTTTTACATCGCGAAGGGAGGCGGCAGCGCAAACAAAACCCAGTCCCACGATTGCAGTTCCCGCTGAGCTCAGTTATCCTCAGTGGCTTTGGGGAAATCCAAGGCTTCTGCAGAAGACCAAAGGCGTTCTCAATGACAAGGCCAGCATGTGTTTGGTGGCTGAGACAAGCCGGCAGCCACATATTGGAACTTTCGCAGGCCTTTACCGAGTTCGTGACGGAACAGGTGCAAAACATCGGCACAGCGGCCTGCCCTCCGTGCTCCGCCCCGCTGAAGTTCGATCGAATAGGTATGGGGGGGGTGGGGGGTACGGGTATGGGTAATTAGGAGGTTTCTTCACTGTGACAAAGCACCCTTCCGAATGAAAAGGACCCCGAGACACATCGATGTGGGGTAGCTCTAGATACTTTGCAGTCAAGATTTTGTAAACCCGAACACCCTCTAAGTGGCTCCTGTGGGATCCTGCATGATCCTGCTCAAGCAGGTATCACCTGGCACTGGTCGTCGGCGGACTTTCAGCAGAGCAAAACTTGAAGACGGTGGCTCCGTGGGATTGACTGGCTTTCAATTCCTGCTTTGAGCCGCCATTGCCACAGCTTACTGCGGATCGAAGGGTTTCAGTCGTCATACTGCACATCCTGCTGTACATCTTCCGAAGGTTGGTGCTTCGCCTTTTAAATTCTTTCTGATCTGGCTTGGGTTGGTGCACTGGAATTCGCGGCCAGGAAGGGAGTGACCCAAGCGGTCTTGAACATGGGGATGCAGACGGGTGGACGATCGACACAACACACATGGTGCAGAGACAACTGGTTGAAAAGTGCAGCAGTACACCCAGTCTTCTGGATGGTTTTGGTTTCTCGAAGTAGGCTGTTCGATTTGGAATAAACTAACTGTGTGGAGCATGTGCCATGCTTATTGTAGTCGGGGACAGCGAACCGAGCAAAGACGCACAATCATTCGCATCACTTGCAGGTGAAGCTTGCCAGCTGCAAGTATCTGGATGGGCTCCCCACTTCCGGAAACAAGCTGGGCCGTGCCTTCCGCGATTTGGAGTGGGAGGAGTCGAAGTACGCTGTTGTGGGCATGCAACCTGCCGGATACTGCTGCGAACTCACGATAGACTATAGACCTAGCGAGACTGCTCTGACAGGAGAAGGTGAAAAAACTGGCTCAGGTCAGCGGCTGCTTCCCGCGCTTTCTAAACTTGTCATGAACCAGCCTGCACCTCCAGGACCTTGGAATCGGCGCCCAGTTTGGGGGCAAGTGCGCGGCCTATCAGGAAGTCGCGAAATGTAGGTTCTGCCACGTAGCCTGTGAGGTTCGTGCTGCCGCAGCAATCCACCGAAGCCAAGCCATGTGCCACAGACGAGTTCCATGGAGGTACTTCTTACATGACGTCCGCATCGTGAGGCTGCCCCGTCACGGTAACACACCCAGCTTATGCCTGCAAGGCAAAAGGGGCCTTCGTCCCGAAATGTAAACGAACCAAGACTGAAACAGGAATCCTGAAAGCACATACTTCGAGGTGCCTCTTGCCCCATTGGCATCGGCGTGTCCTGCTCTGCGGACCGTCAGGCCAAGGCCACCGGCCAACTCCCTGTGTTTAGGGCAACGCTGGGACCACAGGCTGCTTGTATCGAGGCGAAAATCACAGAAGAAGGCGTTTTCCTGGAGCAGCTGGAGACAGATCCTGCAAAGTGAGCTTGACAGCCATACCGTACTGTCTGTGGGCGTTGCGGATGCCTCCAGGTATCTGCCCGATGTCAAAGAGCAGTCGCTGGACAAAGGAGGCGCGAGAAAGCGAGCTTGCTTCAATCCATCGGCTCTTTCCCACACGCGTGCGCCGGTCTTCTTTGAGGTGAGATCGTCAAGGTCGATCTCAACAAGCCAATGGAGGAGTTGTTGGTTTTGAAGGGGTGTCATATCAGAAGCGAGCACCGCCACTTCGTAACGCGAGCCCTCTTAAAGCACCAGCCGACCTGTTGCGCTATAGTCCTGTTGTTAAGCCTATGTGCTTTATTGCCATGATCGAGACATGGGCCTGCTGGCTCATGACCTTACATTGTTTTTCCAATATGCGACATCGCAATCATGGAAGATTCAAGAGAGTCGCGGGGTATTCTGTCTACTTGCCAGCTACTAGCTAGTTGTTTGCCTGACGGCACTGCCACTCCCCAAACCGTGCAAGGCTTCTGCCAGCTCACTTCAGGTTTCCTTTCAGTTTTCCTATGCGAGGCATCGTATCCTGCCGCAGGAGAACTTGAAGATCTTGAGCAACTACCCGGTTGCCACCAGACTGGCCTTGCACGAATCTCAGTGCCCTTTGCGAGAGGATCATGTTGCCTGCCTTGTATTGAGACTCCCGCATCGCACGTGGCCCCGACTGTTTTTGTTTGCTTTCGCGCCTTTCCTAGAACAGTTCCAGGGGCATCCTGAGGACTGTCCTGAGGGTCCCCAGGGCCACCCAACGAGTCCAAAACATGTAATTGTCGTGGCTGGAGCACGACGGCCGAGCACGACTTCGGGAGGTGGAAATGCCGGAGGTATGTAGCGCATCGCAGGGCATTGTGGCGGGAACATGCTAAAATCCTTGGAAAAGTGGCGAGCTACACAGGGAGCCTCGAGGAGCCCCCTGCCAGGACTAGCGATGTGAAGCGCTTCTGTAGCGGGACCACGGTCTCCACCCAAAGCATGCCAAAAATGCACGTTGAAATCGATGGCATCCCGGCGCTTTGCGCGGATGGCGATCTAATGTACCCTAGACGTGGGAGCTCGCAAGAGCAAAAGAGACCGGCAACATCGGGTTCCCCGTAAAACGAAAAGAGTAATCACATTAGGCTTAGAAGTAGAACAAGAACAACAGCGGTTAGGCGAATGAGTGTTTTCTTCAAGCTCCCTCAGCCCTCAGCTGTCTGGACCAGACAAGGACTGGAACCATCATCGTGGCGCGCGACATCGCGCACGCGAAGATGCAGGATGCAGACACCGGGGGGGGATACCCGTTTTGAAGCAGAGGCAGATGAGAGCCTGCTTCGAGGAGATGCTGGACTCAGGGAAGGGCCTGCCTGAGTGCCTTGATCTGTATGCCATAGACCCTCCGCCCTACACACCAGGCTGATTCTTGTAGGGTATTGAGACGCTGAAGGTATCTCAATGCGGCTCAGCGTTCCTGTCATCCATGTGAGCATGGCTGTGTAAATCGAAGGTACATCAAGAAGTATCCGGTCTACTATGCCGGCCCGGCCAAGGAGCGAAATGCTTGCCCGCTTGAGTGTGCATTTAATATAGTAATAGTAATAATAATAATAATCACAATAAATCTGATAGTAATAGTACAAATAGCAATAAGAATAAGAATAGCAATGAATAAAGCTTCGAGAATGCATTCGGGCCGCGTGGAAAGAACTGCAGTTAGAATCTTCGTCGTTCTTCGTGATCTGTGCGGCTCGCTTGAGCTCTGCGCCTGTCGTTAGGAGAGCGTTCGATCCTAGGGAAGACTGTGCGGAACGACAAGCATCCCAGCCCTTTCTGTCAACAGACGCCCGCGGGCATGCCTTCTGGATCTTTCGGACCAACGACCTCTGGAAGAATGGACCAGTGACTTTGCCGCAATGTTCGTCTGTGATGATTGTTGCAACCGCACGGAGAATAATTTGTCGAGGTCAGTTCTCATCTTTGAGCCTCACACAGCTGGTATAAGCTCGTATGAATTGGAGGTACGTGGGCACATTCCAGGCGCAGTGTCTTGACTGCGATCTGGCCGACGCGGCTTTTGAGTCTGCATTTGAAGCAAGTCGGCTTTAGGGTTGAGCGTGTCACCCTGCCTTCAGACCGCACGCCATCCCAACCGAGAGACTAAGGGGTGGCTCGATGATCATGATCGGGACCTGCGCTGTGACGTCAAGGGGCTGAGGTTCAGGTTCATGACGGCTGCAAATGACGTTGCAAAACCGCCTTGTAAATCCGGAAACGGGCATTGGCAATTTCTGTCAAGACGGTGATTCTTCTTGCCGTGATTGCCCTCCTGCTTCTTCTGCTTCTTTTTCTTCGTGTTCCCTCTGTGAGTTCGAGAGGAAGGGCAACCGCTCCAAAGCGGTGACCAACGCTTGCAAGGAGCACGGAGGCCGTTGGTGAGCCGTGAGCTTGAGCTATCGGCCTTCCCTGGGAGTCACATGGCTTCAGGTTTCTACCTTGGCTCCATTGGCAGCTGACCCAGACACAGTCCCCGAGAAGTGCCGAAGAGTCAGAAAAGCCTTGCAGGTGGCGTGGCCGCGACTCTCAGCTCCAACAGCATCAAGAAGGTGCTGTCGCAGTGGTGCAAGTAGAAGCATGCAACCTCAAGGGATCTCAACGGCAACGGCCCTGCGGGCATTGGGCAGACTCATCGAACTTCGCATCGTAGAGGTAGGAGCGTTGCAGAGAGTTCAGCATATGAATGCACAGGGGTTCTCTGCGAGTATATCTCCAACGTCCAACCTCCATGATCAGGTTGAAGTGCTGGATATGGAGGAGCTGGGCATGGAGGCGAGCCAGTCGTCTTTCACAAACTTTTGCTCTTGTTTAAGCTTCTCGTATGACGGGCCTTGGCTTTTGGATCTTGATGCCTGCTGCAGAGCTCAACGGCTCCTTGGCTCAATTTGAGAATTGAGGGCATGTCTACATGACATGTTTCACGTGATCTCGGCCTCGAAAAGAGTTGTTACTCATATCCCGCTTGCTGCCCAGATTTCAGAGATGCATGCCCAAGAGACGTCCCAAAGCGTCCAAAGTCCGCTTCCGCACACTAAGCCAACAGGGAATCGTCATTGGCCGCTCAAAGCGATTGTGTTCATGGCATTGCTGCTTCGATCTATCGCGTTGGCATTGGCACAAGGCAACCTTGCATCCGGCTTATTGGAAGTGACCGTTGGCGCATGCTTGGCGACAACAGAAGGATGCATCCTAAGTCCTAGCTTTCCATCGTTTGGTTCTGGGAGGTGCACTGTGGAGACATCGGAGCTTCTGCTCATAACAGAGCATATAGTCAAATCTTCAAGCAGCTATCTTCATGCAGAGTTGGGCTCCAACCCCCATGCGATTTACTACTCTTTTCCGTTGGGTGGCCTGCCGGCGAGTGGTGAAACACAGATCACTCTACGTTTTCAGGATGTGGCATTTCGATTGTGCAATGCATTGTCCCGGGAGTTGTCCGGGACTACGGCTACAGCTACGTCCACGCACACAGCGACCATATCGTCCAGCACTTCTCCCACCATGACGATATCCTCAACAACATCTACTACGAGTGTACCGAGCTATCATGTAGTGGACTGTGACTTCCAGACTGGTGCCTGCAGCTGGGTCTGCGCGAACACATCGGAACAAGGCGATCTGCGAATCATGCCCTTCCAAGTTATCAGTAGACGCGACAGCACCAAGTGCATGGAGCACAGCGGATGGAATGTACGCATGGCTGCTTGTAGCATTTCAGAGCGACAGTTGTGGTACATGGTGGATGGACGTATTATGTCCCTTTCTTCTGATGGAGGCTTGTGCTTGGACCTGGATCTCGCAGGAGCAAGAAACGTAAACATATCAAGCTGTCACGATGGCTTGAGCCAGCTGTGGTATTGGGATGATCCACATCTCCGCAGCCGGCTTGACAACAGCTGTTTGGATCACTACCAGGACGGCTCAAGCAATGTTGGCTCGTGGCCTTGCTGGTTCCCGGCCAGTACACACCAGCAGTTTGCCTTTCCCGTCCGCCTTCGCCTTGGCTGTGCGTGGACCTGGTATGGCCCGGATGCGTTCGCTGCACCTGATGAAAGCCGCGGATATGGGTATTTGAACGCCCAAGGTAGTTTGCCTGACCAGGAGTTCGTCTTGCAGAGTGCCTCTTTTGTCAGAGGGGAAGCTGACGAAAGGCATGTCCACTTTACGTATTCCTTGCGCAGCAGCGGCGAGAGTAGCATGGAGCTGCAGTGTTGGGATGGCATGCATTGGACAGTGCTTTGGGAACGAGCGGGCGATCAGGGTGCCACCCGGCACGCGGCCATTGTTGGCTTGCCAGCAGCTGCTCAAGGCTTACGGTTCGTCGTTGCAAATGGCTCGTTCAGCGACGCTGCGCTGCACAAAATCAAGACCAGTGCCGCCATAGCCTATGATGTTGTGGCCTGCAATTTCGAGATGTCGGATTGTGGTTGGAAGGCCAATGAGCACCAGGCTTGGGCGTTGTGGTCGGGCTTCAATCCGCTGGCGTTTGAGGGAGCCTCTTGCATGTCTTTGGACTTAAGTGGCAGTCTGTCCGACCAGGAATTTTTGTTGGATAGCCTGCCTTTCAACGGCACCAATGGCACAGACAGAGACCTCTACTTCATGTATTACATGGACAGCAGTTCGAACAGCCTAGGCCTAACAGTGCAACACTTTGATGGCAACAACTGGACGACAGCATGGTCAGATTCTGGCAGTGAGGCCGACTCTTGGCTTCCAGCGAAAGTCACCCTGCCACAAACTGCGCAAGGTCTTCGTTTCCTGGGCACTGGCAGTGCATCAGCCGGGCGCATGTTCCTCGACGCATTGAAGACTGCTGAGGCACTCCCTGGCTGGGAATCAGTGGCCTGGAGAGCACCCGAAGGCCTCGTTAGCTTCAGTGTCACAAGTTCCTGCCACCCCGCTCTACCGGGAATTTACGTCATGATGGGCCGCACGCTGACTGGACGCCCCTATTACAAGCGCGTGGATCCGGATGGCGGCATGTACCTGTTTATGGATCCGCACTGTGCTGGGACGGGCTCGTGGCCTTTATGGATATTCAGATGGTTCAGCAGCGGGGAGCCGTCGGTCACGGCTTACTCTGACTTGGATGGCGACGGCACTTGTAGATCTACTTCATACCTGCAGAGCGATGCCGACGAGCCGCCGCTGTCTGCTACATGGACAACCGGTTGCAGTTCTGGCTGGACGTCCGAGACGTTGTCTTTGGAGCCTTATGCCTCTTATGCCTCGGATGAGAGAATCCTTGTGAAGGATCTGGTCCTGCAAAGCCCCATCTTTGCCCCGAGCAAAGGTGAGCTTCGGACTTGGCACTTGAGCCACAGTACCATCGGCCAGCAGACCAGCAATTTGGAACTGCAATCCTGGGACGGCATGAGCTGGACCTCCATCGGGGACTTCTCAGCCCGATCCGAGGAGACGTCGCTCGCTCGTGCCAGACTGCCAGCCGGGTCACAAGCCCTGCGCGTGATCAAGCGGACGGGTAATGCCGTGCTGCGATTGGTTCCGCACTTAGAAGTACATGAGCTTAGCTGCAACTTCGGGGTATTTCACACCTGCTGGTGGTTTTTCGAGCCAGCTGTCACTTGGACTGGTGCAACCGAATATGTGCAGGTGGACGGCTCACAGGATTGGACCGTCGCCCTTGAAACTGCAACCATCGCAGCATTTTCTAACAACTACACCTTTCTCCTGCGCTACCAGCTTGTAGGGCCCACGGCCGCTTTGCTACTGCAGCATGGAGAGGGTGACGATTGGGCAGACCTCAAGACTTGGAATGAGTTCACTGAAGCGTCGTGGCAGTATGTCTTTGGATCCATACCCGCAGGAGCCCGCACATTGCGATTGCTCGCAACAACCAACAGCACTCAAGACATTGTTCGCATGAAGGCCTTCGAGGTGCAGAGCCATGCTTTCAGGATGGACATCCGCTGCGGATTCGAAGGAGACTTTTGCGGATGGGAGGGACCTTGGTCCAGCTCTCATGCTCGGACAGATGGAGTCCCAGCCTTTCGTGGCGGGGCCTTTGCCTACATCACCCAGGCACAGTGGCAATCTGCAGAGGAGCCCGCTAAGGAGGTGAACCTAACGAGTCCTTTTTTCGCCAGTTCTACACAGTTGGCCTACTTGGCCTTCGCCTACCGCATGCTGGGCCTTGGGTTGTACAGTCTTGAGGTATGGGTGTTGACTACGGGAATCTGGCAGAAGCGATGGTCGATGTTCCGCGAACAGGGGGATGCCTGGATTCAGGTCAAGCTCCGCTTGCCAGAGGGCACTTACCAGATCCGCTTCCGAGCCTATCTTCATCCCGAGATTAATAAATGGTGTGACTTTTGCCCTTCGGTAGTGGACATTGCAATTGACGACGTCTTCCTTTTTGAACCGGTCGATACAGGCCCACCTTCCATGGTTTTGATATCTGGTCAGGGCCATCACCGGTGTGCGCTGGGTTTTGGCCAGCTGAAATGCTTTGGCCAGAATAGCAAGGGGCAGCTCGGTTATGGCAACATCGAGAACTTGGGTGATGAGCCATTCGAGGTTGGTGTGGACTTGCCGACCGTCAAATTGGCGGGCGAAGTGGTGCATGCCTGCACTGGGGCCTATCACACCTGTGCGGTACTCGAAGAGGGCACACTAAAATGTTGGGGTGATCCATGGTTTTTTGGTCAATACAGCGGTTCTAATTCCGACGTCATTGGTGACGAACCTGGGGAAGTGAGCGAGCTCTTGCCAGCAGTCGACCTGGGCTACGAAACCAAGGTGCAGAAGATAGTATGCAGTTGGTGGCACACCTGTGCACTGCTACACGGTGGCGCCGTCAAGTGCTTTGGAAGAAACAGTGAAGGCCAGTTGGGCCTCGGAGACAATCAGCACCGTGTTGAGAGTCATCAAATGGGAGATGCATTGCCTGTGGTGGACCTGGGCAACATCACAGTCACCCAGCTCGTCGCAGGGCATAAGCATACCTGTGTTCTATCTCATCTCGGGAACGTGGTCTGCTGGGGAATGGTTGATTCTAGCACTTATGTCGGAGACGAGCCCGGAGAGATGGGGTATCGGCTTCCAATCATTGACTTCGGACTGCCGGTCAAGCAGCTTGCAGCAGGCTTTCATCACAATTGTGTCCTCCTTGATGATGGCCACGTGCACTGTTGGGGTTCCAACAACTACGGTCAGCTCGGCCAGGGAGATGTGCTGACTCGCGGGGACCCTGTTCGTGTGGACCTGGGCTCTGGCATGACGGCTGGGCATATTGCTGCACAAGGTGAGTTCTGCTGTGTTATCTTGCAGGATGAGACTTTGCAATGTTGGGGAAACAACCAGTATGGACAGCTTGGACTAGGCCATGTCGGGAACATAGGAGATGAGCCGGGTGAGATGGGCGATGATCTTGTACGGACAGCAGCAGGCAGGGTCCAGCATGTTTCGCTAGGTATCTTTCAAACCTGCGCCTTGCAGATTGATGATGTCATGTTGTGTTATGGCAGCAGCGCCGTGGGACAGCTGGGCTTGGGCAGCAGTGAGACAGTGGGCGATGAACCCTCAGAGCTGGGCGAAAGAGCACGTGTGCCAGCGCTTTTTCAGCCTCAGACTCCGGGGCCTGAGTTGGAACAACTGCGCCTGTCCCCTGTATCCTCTGACGACACTCGCGGATTGCTCCAGGTGCTTCACAACGGTACATGGTCGTTGATTTGCGATGACGGTTTCGACGCCGCAGCAGCCAATGCAGCTTGCAAGGACCTGGGCCTGGTAGGTGGCGAGCCCGTCTATGGCATCTCTGAATCGGGCTCTGCGACCGTGGCCATGGACAATCTCCACTGCAGCGGCACCGAGGTGAGCTTGCGGGATTGCTCCTTTAAGGGGTGGTATATCCATGACTGTCAGCC